GAAAGGGGATGTGAAGGAGATTAAAACTAGCCGTTAGGGATTTTTCAAACTAACAATGCACCCTCGGCCAGCGCAGTAGCCGTTCTAACCCTAAATCTAAAAAACTAGTCTTCAAATTTGTACTAGTGTACCATGTGATATGATTCACACTATTATCTTAATAGATAATGAATACAATATTTTCTTCTATAATTATTAATTTTGATTGTGAATAGTGAGTGAATAAGAATGAATACATAAATATTAATGATTTTGAAATAAAAAAAAGGCCGTTAGGGATTTTTCAAACTAACAATGCACCCTCCGCCAGCGCACTAGCCGTTCTAACCCTAAATCTAAAAAACTAGGTCTTCAAATTTGTACTAAGTACACGATGTGGTATGATTCACGTTATTATCTTAATAGATAATGAATGCAATATTTTCTTCTACAATTAATAATTTTGATTGTGAACAGTGAGTGAATAAGTATGAATACATAAATATTAATGATTTTGAAATAAAAAAAAGGAAATAAACTCAATTCTAACCACTTGAAATTATTTGAAAGGACACAAATTTGATAATCGACTCAACCTCAGTTTAGCTAAATTACATAAGTCAACTCAAGCTAGCTATGATATATATATGTCTCTTTCGAATATCCACAGGCCTTATTGATTGCTTGTTTCTTCTAGTTTAAGATCAATGAAACAATCAATAGAAATCATGAATTTGAGAAACAATCAATAGCTCATCACTGTGAAGATCATATAAATGAAGCTTATTATTTAATGTTTTTCGAGTGAGTGAGTTAGTTTGTCCTCATTTAAGTTTATAATATCTTGATTGGCTCCTTCAAACAAGACTAATAATGGCACTAGCCTTGTCCTCATATGTCAAATTTATTATATAAGTCTAATTTTGCTTTAACTAATCAAAAATTACTTAATAAATAATAATATAAAATCATTTTCTCTATAAATGAAAAATATATCTCAGGCTCTGAGCCAATAAATGATAAGAGAATAAATATATATATATACATATATATATATATCTTATCCTCCATGCAGCAATTATATATATAAAGTAGAAGTTCGTTGTCAAAAACTTTATATAACCTATCCTAAAAGATGCCTTTTAATATTAAGCATTTCTTAACATCCTTTTGCAAATTCATTTATCTATTATAAATTTATAATGTGATCAGCTTGAATATATAATCTAATTGCGTTGCAGGAGCACATCATATACTCTTCTAAATTACAAGAGCATAATTTTAATTTAAAAAGGAGCCAAAACCTGAAATCCAATTGCCTTTTTAAGCTTTGGGACATTTACATTTATATCACCCCCATTCTTATATATTTATGCAGGGGCTGGTAACAATTTCACGCCAAAGATAAAATACTACAAAGATACAAACTTCAAGAACAACCACCACATGTTGGCTGCAAATAATGGTCTTAATGGTTGTCAATGGTCGATGATGGTAGGTGTTGATGGTCAGGAGTGATCAACGGTAGTTTATGATTATAAAGACTAGAAGTTATCATAAAGTTTTTAATAAGATTGTTATATGTTACAATCATATTTGAGATTTAATGCTTGTAAGCAGACGTCGTTGGATGTAGGGGGTCGGCATGGATAAGCAGTGACGACCGACGGTGGTCGACAGTAACCAATTGATGACATTTGACAAAGGATGGAAGTAATTGCTCGGTCTTTAATAAATGTAATATATGTTACATTCATATTTGAGCTACGATGTTTGTGAGGGCTTTCCAAAAATAAGAGGTCAGCGGTGACATGTAGTCACAACTGACAGTGGTTGATGGTAACTGACGGGTGGTAGTCAATGATGGTCAGCAGTTACGGAGTCTGAAAGTTATTGTTGGGTCTTCAATGCAGCACGCAGTCTAAAAATCCTTTTCTTTCTCATTTTGCCTCAAGTGAAGAGTAGATGTATATTTATAGCCTCTGATGTAGAGACATTTTTGACTTTTGGCAAATACTTTCTACCCGCATGGCCGGATGATTCATATTGATTTCCCTTAATTTTAGATGGTCTTTTGATGATTTCTGTGTCTTAATGAACTCAAAATTCATGGAGCTTAGGTTCATTGAATTCCACTCGTCGACACTTAAGTTGATCATAAATATGTCATAATTCAAAATCCATTTGATTGTTCAATTGACAATTTAAAACCTCTAATTATACTTTAATGACTTGATTTGGGCTTGATTATGTATGAATCGAACCAATTTTGATATTTTTGTGCTCGTCTTGTCGAGACAATCAGTCTGACCATAAATTTGTTGTAATTACTGTCATAAATGATCTTGAACTTAAATTTAAATTATTTCTTACTTAAAAATATCTCAACATTAATGTCAGATATAAAATTTTATTGATGACTCATCAAAACTACTAGAGACGCCAAAATAACCACAACAAAACAATAATCAAGATTTTCATAACAATAATTCACTTCAAATTGCACAGCCGACAATTAAACTAAATATAACATTTTATTATAACATTTTTCCAATTTATAATTAATAAAAGTTAAGTTAACATAAACATTAATCTGACCACTTTTTTTCCCATATATTTTATTTAGTTAAAACAGTAAAGTATTGAAAAAATATTTTTATAATAAATTATTGAAAATTTTTTTTTTTAAAAAAGTATTAAAATTAGAGAGACGTTTCAAACTAAAGTCTTAACGATAAATCCACTAATCATTCAAACAATAGTCCGAATATCATTTTAAACGAGCTTTTTTAGATTGACCGAGTTAAATATTATCGTCACTGCACACCAAATTTGAAAAGTGATTAAGGGCCTTTTGGGGAAGCTTAAAAGTGTGGGCACCGTTTTCAAAATGTCGTCTTGCCGTTTGGATCGCACGGACCAGCTGCGTATTTAAAAATGGGGTTTTCGTTTTACGGACGCGAGCCGCGGCCTCATGCCCGCGGAAAAAATTTGCGTACATAAGACGTACGTACGTCTGTAACTTGTAAATATGTTACAAGAAGGGCATTGGGAGGTTATGACCGCATTATGCCCCTGTAACCTCCATGTAACCTACCTGTACTTTCCAGTAAGTTCTGCGTTGGGAGGTTATGACCGCATTATGCCCCTGTAACCTCTATGTAACCTACCTGTACTTTCCAGTAAGTTCTACGTTTTTGTTTTCATATACAGGTATGTTACAGGGGGTATAACACAGTTATAACTTTCGAATATCCTCCCTGTAACCTATTTACGGGTTACAGATGTACGCGCTCTAAGTAGGTCTTATGTTCTCAAATTTTTTCCCCGGCTGCATATTACTCTACTGCCCTCGTCGCGATTCGCTCCGCTGCCCTCGTGGAAGTAGCCGCTCCCCCATCGGCATCTCCTTCATCGCCTTTCGAAAGCTCTGCCCTAGCCGCTCCCCCTTCTTCGGCATTCTTTCACTTCGCGGTCGAGAGCTCTGCCCTAGCCTCTCCCTCTCCCTCTTCATCAGCAAAGGACGCAGAAACGAGAATCAATATAGGTTTGTGTGAAGGAGCGAAGAGAGGAATATCGCAATCTGATGTGTTACACGCATCTAACGGTTCTGTAGAGGATGATTCAGGTTCGCTTTGGATGGGTAAAAGCAGGCATGTTTTGCAGAAAATCAAATAGTTTGCATCTGGGAGCGTAAGCGAGCATTGATCCACGCAGAAGTTTCGGAGTAGATCAGAGCATGGTGGAAGATGGCCGTAGGAGTTGGTGCAGATTTTGATTCAAGTTGAGGTTTTGATGAACTGGGAAGGAGACTAGTTTGGAATAATATTGAGCTATGAGAATATGATTTTTTGAATTGGATGAAGTTGCAGTTCATGGATGTCATTTTCTCACATTGAATGGGAAGAGAAGAAGTGTGCATTTGATTCTGGATTCGAAGTAAGGAAATTGTTTGGCTTGATTATATTTATTTCTACCGCACATCATTGGGGAGGATTTGCATTCTCTATATCAGTTGAAAAGTCTCTATGATTATTCAAAGATACAAAGGTTATAAATTTTAAGTCAATTTGGTTTTCTGGACTGCTCTTGCGAAGACATACTCATGGCACTTTTTAATTTCAGTACTGGGAGAAGGGAGAGTTTCCCTTCCATGGAAGGGAGAGTTTCCTTATTGTTGGGATTTTTTCTTTAAAATTCTCAAATTAGTTAATGATGAGAATTAAATTTATTTTTTTAGAATTCTCAAATTAATTAAAACTCTATTTTAATTTCAATACCCTTTGGAATTCCCAAATTAATTTCAATACCCATTGAAATTCTCAAATTAATTTTGATAACTGTTGGAATTCCTTGGTGTTTTTAAGAGAAATAATTTTCAGAATGTGGTTCCTATAGTGTCTAAGTTCAACACACGAATTTAGTAACATTCCATAATGTGGTCACATCCATTGAGCTCTGTGATGGGCAGAACACTATAAATTAAATGTGATGCTTGTTGTTTTGGTCCCTAAGCTTGCTCCTCTTCATTTTATTTGCACCATCGGGTTGTGAGTGAGAAAAGCTTAGAAGATCTATAACAGAAAATTTGTCGTGTGAGTTGTGAGTGTCGACTCTGTTCGTTTAAGTTATAATTGTGTAAATCGAATATGGTATTTAGAATCTTTTACATTTGGTATCAGAGTTTTGATTAATCTCTGTCTTACTTATTCTGTTTCACTCTATTTACGCGTAAATCTTGGTTGAGATATTAAGATTAATGTTCGTTCTTATTGCCCATTTTTGT